TATATATACTATAAAAAGGAAAAGATCCACTCACCTGGAGTCTGCGCTACAACTCCTTAGCACGAATATCAAGGCATCGCGAACGATCTTCGCCTAGAACAATTATCAAATCACGTCTCAGAATTCTTATTGATAGAACATGTAACTTACATAAAAACAAATCCCCTAAGAACGTTCTAGAATGATTTGTAACCCATTGACCAAAAGTCAACCGTCAGTCAATGGTTGACAATAGGGTCCACAACCCTACGTAGCTCAATCCGAAAGATCTGCTCCTCGGACTTCTGATCCGTAACTTTCATAGATTCATATTATGCTTCTAGAACAACATCCTAGATCCAACGGTCGAATCTCCGCCAATTGCAAATTCAAGTGGAGGTCAACGTTTTATTTTACAAACTTATAAATCCAATTCGAGAAGATCCATATGTCGGATTCCTGATCAGTAAGTTCCTAAGGTCCTCAAATATTACGAATAATAACTTATTAAAGTTTGATGACGATCCAACGGTCGGATGGTCAATTCATATGATGACCAAGTAGCGGACCTTAGCGAAATTGTACCCAAATAATTGAATTTTGTTAATCAGACATCACATATGGAATTGGGGTATCAAGTTTAGCCTAGGAAGGTCAGGGATGTCTCGGCCCATGCGCCACCACCACACGCCGCCGCACGTGGCGGTCTGCCGCCCCGACTCGTCGGAACATTCCACTATTTCTAAAACTTCTCAAATTTCACAGGAATGAAGATCTCAATGAGTAGAGCAAGTTTTATACCTGTGGAGAAGTCCAATTTGGCCAGGAAAAGCTTCAAATCGCCAAGAACCAGCCGAAACCCTAGAATTTGGGTGTTCTTCAATTCAATCAATATGCAACACCATCACCCTTAAAATAGTTTGGGCTTTGTTCCTGACCTCCAGATAAGTGTTTTGGTGAAAGTAAGTGTTTCAGAAATGGGTGGATCACCGCCTAGTACCCACGAAGCCGTGCGTCGGCCTTCACGAAATTGGAACCAAAACTCTCTGTTTTTCGACTGAGATGGTGGATGGGAGGCCACATGAGTGATTTGCATGTGATGGATGGTGGTGATCAACGAGAAAAATGGCGGAAATTCGTCGGATTTGGGTCGGGTGGTGCGCGGGTGTACGGACCGACGGGAAGGCTGGAGCTCCCCTTCTTTTTTGTTTTTTTCTTCTTGATTTCTGATTGGTCCTTACCCTTTAATTTGATTGGTCCCTTATTATTTTCTTAAAAATGATTGGGCTTCTTTCCTAAAAGGTGGGAGTTCAAATAAATTAAAATCTAAAATGTAAGTAACCAATTTCAAACATCCGTAACTATACTGTTATAATCCGGACTCGCAAACGGCTTTCGCCTATGCGTTTGTACCATTGAGTACTATGCAAATAAGCCAAAAGAATAAGTCATACGTTTCTCTAGACGATGGTCAACGGAAGTCAAAGTCCTTGCCTCTAAAGCATTTTCGTCAATTCACGCTTTTAAAATTAATAAAAACGTAAAATTAGGGACAGGTTGTCACATGATATCTTGGTATAGTCAGTAGTCGATTAAGTTTTTAAAAAATTCGCACATTCTATGTATAGTGAGAATATCAAAGATTTGTTAGGATTTTAACGATGTGGAATTTTGATGGATTTGAGTGTAGGTGGTAAAGTACCAAACGCTTTCAACAATCAAACATTCACCCACAAAATTTCATTTCAAGACTGAAAAATTCCCTCTATGGAAGAAGAACAGTCTTTTGCTACCCCTCATCCCCACACCCCACCCAGTGCCATTATAACAGCTGTAAAATCCCAATTGCAATTATATCATGTACAATTCCAATCCAAGCCATATGAGATAACAATGGGCATTCTTCAAGTAGCGCAGAGATCCTGCTAACTGCAGCGATAATGAAATTACCAAGGATTTGGATCCTCATTGGATCCCCTCTTTGGGGATCCTAGGGATCAACACACGTGGACTGTTGATCAAAAATCGTGCGGCTACAATTTTTTATTTATTTTTTTTATATTTTTCACGCAAAATGAGGTTGCTTTACTTTTAAAAATATAAAATATATTTAATTGGGACAACACGATTTTTGATCAACGGTCCACATGCGTTGATCCCTAGAATCCCCAGGAAGGGATCCGACGAGGATGCAAATCCCATTACCAATATATTTTGAATGGGCTTGATTCCTTATTTTAATTTTATGAGTTGAAATTATTATTTTCAAGTTTAATTTTTTGAGTGATTGGGTTTGAAGTGGCTGGTTACGGGTGGTTGTTAGTCAATGATCTTTGTTATGGTTAGTTGAAGTTTTTTTTAAAAAAAATATAATTCAAATGAGTAAGTGAGAGACATATTTGATTGGTGTGTATTTCTATATCAATATATGTATGTTTACGTTTATGTTCTTTTTAGATTGTGCATTGAGAAATAAATTCATTTTATGTTGTCAGATATCTATAATAGAAATCCATATAAAAAATGCCAAAATCTATATAGAATTGTAAAAGTTTGTTAAAATCCTTTGAAATATGTTACTTAAAAAAAAGGAAATAGACAAGAATGAAAAAAAGGAAATAGACAAGAATGACTCATTTTCTTAATCTTAGGACCAAAATAAGATCTTTCGGATATGCATAAACCATCCACATGATATGCAAAACAATATGATAAAAATAGGATTTTTCTAAACCTTAAAATGACTAAATTGCCCTCGTATATTTCCTCCCACCCAATGATCATTTGCAACTTTCTCCAAAATCTCTCTCACCCAATCCCCAACTCGAAGAACCCTAACCCACCCATCTTCTTCATCCAACAGGTCTCTCTCTCTCTTTCCCTGTCTCTACCACTCAAACCCTTCTTTGCAATCGACCCCATCAGAATGAGCAAATGATGCTCAAGCTGAATGGCATCCATGGCATCCATAAACAAAATTTGATAAAAGGCATAGAATTTGACCTTGGTTATGAGCGGATGATACTGAAGCTGAAGCAAGTACTGTTGCAACCCCTTCTTTGCAATCGACCCCATCAGAATTTCTTCGTTACAAATTCCAAATTTGAGAGGAATAATTGGGTTTAGTCAAGCTCTAGCTACGTCAAACATGTGGTGGCGCACTTGCACAGTACGAACCCAAAGTACAAGCTCCAACCAAGGGCATCCATGGATTTTCAACAACACAAATGGCCCATCGGCGCACCCATCAGCATCTAAATCTGATAGGGATTGGAATTGAACACAAAAATATATATTCTGAAGGTTACTTGAATGTTTTTGTTTTCATATCAAAATATTCTTCTATTTTGTTCTTCCTTGTTTCGTCCATGAGTACAAAAGCAGCAAACGATTTAGTCAATTTCTTCCTCTTCTATATTGGGATTCCCTACCTTGTCTGAATGTCGTGATAATGTTTATTAAAAGTTAGCAAAATTTGGTGTTTTGTTTGATGAATTTTTAAGATATACTCATTGTATGCACACGATATACACATGGTATGCTCATAGATCTAAGCTCAACCAAAAAACCCAGAGCTCACAGCTCTCTATTCGAAATAAGAAAAATGACATCATCACATGTGAGTTTTTACAATTTATATGTGGTTACTTTCGTCATTTCACTTTTGTACATGGTGTGCATGGCTTGTGCATAGCAGATTTGTCCTATTTTGGTCCAAAGATTAAGAAATGGGTCATTTCTGTCTATTTCCCTAAAAATATCTATTAAATTTTTTTGAAAGATTAATTAACTTCACTCCTTAGTCTTTTTTTTTTATTATTTTGAATAGACAATAGTATCTACACTAAAGGGGAGGGAGTGAATTTAGCCTTACAATGGGCTAACTATAATATGGTTTAAACTCGTCTTTGACGAGAATCGAAATTAAGACTTCTTACTTATAAATAAAGAGAAATACCACTAAACTATAGTATTAAGTGGCCACATCCCTTAGTCTTTAGTTAGTGAAGTTCCTTAAACCGTCTCCAAATGATATGCCAAATCTTAGATGTAATATCAACTAATCACTTTTGACAGTAAATATTGCTCCAACCGAATAATCTTTTGGCTGACTTGGAATGGCAGCAAGGCCTCTAGCGACAATTTTGACGCTGCCTTCACTTCTATTTTATTTATTTTTAATTGGTGGGGCCCATAAAAAGCTTTAAAAATGATTGTATTGTTTATTTTATTTTAAACTGGACCATGTATCATAGTAAAATAATAAAAAAACATACCGGTTAGAATATAAAGAAATTTAACATCATGCTTCAAAATCCCAAATCAGCCATCAATTAAGAATTTGACAGAAAAAAATGACACATCTATTGGAGATGCTTTTAGTGATCTTTTAGTTTCTAATATTCACCATCTATTACTATCTAACAGCTTAGATTGCTTCATGTCATCATCAGTTTATTTCCTAGTTGCAAGAGTTTTGTAGAGTAAATAATATTACTTAAGCTGAAATCTTTGCAATTAAAGTTCGCATATATAGTTTACAGTTTTCCATATCAAATCTTTCTCTTTTTATTTTCTCTTTTTTATTTTTTATATTTTTTTAATACAAAGGCTATTTCCTTAAATCTTTAGGATAGAAAATAAAACTTACCACTGGTATACCTCGATCGTTTAGCTTCTCCCTCTCTAGTTTTATTCTTGTCTTATTAACTAGCTAGTGTCTATACCTTCAAAAACAAGGAATAATTTAGCATTAACTGCTTGAATTACCTAATAAAAAGAGAAAGGGAAATATATCATAAACCTTTTAAGGAGGAGGAAAAAGCTTTTCCTATATTTTTGAAAAGTTTATAAAGAATAGGAATACTTTTCAGCATATCAGCAGCACACCGAGACCTGTATATAACTGGTATATGTTGTACAAACTTTCTTACAGTTATACCTACGATTTTTCGCAAGTTTAGTCGATCTCTTTCTCTTTGATCTTCTCAGTTTGCGAGTGTGTGCCTTGGGAGTCAAGTATGAAGGGGAACTCAGCTCGACCAAGGAGAGACAACCGCGAAGAGCAAAGGCTCGCTAAACGGAGAAAACTGAGGCAGCGGCAGCAGTCGGAACAACGGAAATCCACGATGCAGAGATCAGCGACTGTGATGAGGAAAGCAATGAATCTCAATAAGCTCTGCGGAGCTCAGGTCTGCGTGGTTGCATATATTGGACCCAATGCCAAAGTTAAGGTCTGGCCAGAAGACGAGGACTTGGCCAAAGCCATTATCAGTAAGCACCAAGCAGCAGCTATTAAGAACAGAAACAACCCTAAAACGCGAGAGGTCAACATCTATAATTTTTTTCAAGGTAAGATGAAGCAGCTTGAACAAAAGATTGAGCTCGATGACAAGGAACTAGACGCGTTATCTGAGGATTCATTGATGGATCTGGCAGCATTCTTAGAGTCCAAGCTACAGAAATTGGACTACCCGGTTAGGTCAATTGAAGGAAAATCTGTTGTTCATTTGCCGTATAGTTATGATGACTGTAACTTGGTACACAAGGAACTACATGTACATCAGCCATTATTCGATCCAATTCTGAACTGCTCAGGAAACCTAATGATGATGGGATTTGAGGGTCAAACTATGTTTTCCACTGCCACAGCCACAGCCACCTGGCCGTGGCAGAATAGCCTTGCCGACGGTCATTATCAATCTGCAGGCTTCGCAAATTGCTCCAATTGTAACATGATGACCGCCGGGCTAGTGGATCCAAGTGTATCAGCTGAAGCTGGGACAAGTGGTTCTTCAACTTTAGAAGTTGACCAATACTTTGCTTGGATGGGGTCCGATAATTGGGAGAACAACGTTAACGTGCTTGGGGTTGAGGACCGACCAGGATCAATGCTGGTTTTCAATGGGTCAGACAATTTTGGTGTGATGAACAATAATCTTCTTCCTCAGCAGTGTATGCCATCCCAACTTGACGATTCTTTCCCAATAACATCTTGGAGAAATCTCTTGAGTTTCGGATGAATTAGTGTTTAACTTTGTTTAAGTTTGATGTTTCTTGGGTTGGGTTTTAGGAACATGTAAGTTAATTAATAAAAGTGCTATACTTGCTATTTTTCTTAATTTCGCTGACTTTCTTTTCTAAATTTGTTTTATTAGAACGTCTGCAAGTGAATTGATGATGTATGGAAGAAAAATTTCAAAAGGGCTTATGGGTTTAAAAAAAAGCACTTTGAAGTTATTTTTGTAAGAAACATTTGATATGTTCTTCTAGAAGAACTTCTGAAAGCGATGAAAGTATATATGTGCTACAGTTTTTGGGCAAAGGTAATACAGTTCAAGTGTTTTTCTAAGAAACACTTCCATTTTGATAATGTGCTTCTATTAGAAGCACACTTATGTGTAGAACTTCTTTTTAAAGAAGCATTTCCAAGTGGAAACGAAAAGATTGGAATAGGGTTTAATCAGGCCGGTCCTGAGATGTTCGAGAATCGGGGCGACACCATAAAATGTGCCCTAACTTCATATAAGAAAAATTATTTGTTTTCACACATAAGATTCAGTAAAATCATATTTAGAAAAGCACTTCAAACTCAGTAAATTAGAAACATGGAAAAACTAATTTATTTTGTATTGAAGGCTGTCTTGTCATCTGCCTCAGCGCAGTGAGAATACTCATGGCTGAAATGACCAGCATACTCTCGTAGTGACTTGTCCGGCTTCTGGCGCATAGTGTACAAGTCATCTGCAGAATGTAAGCGATCAGTTTGGAGATGTGTTGAGAGACAAACAGTTTCCTCAGTTCCTCAAATGAGTCTACTTCTCAGGTGGAAGACGGCAATACCAGTTTAGAGCTCCGTCAGAGAGGGTGGAGGGGAAGAGAAGACATCGCTCTTCGTCGGTGTGTATCCGATATGCCATGGTGAACTCAAAGAGGTTAAGGTGTTCAATTGGGTCCTCCATTCCAGTATAGAGTTGTAAACCAACCTTTTGTTTTGTCTTCGCTTGAAGGGGGTGTCAAGGATCCTCCTTGTGAGAGGGCCAGGCCTGGGTTGGTTCCAGTCAGGTATTTCGGTCTGACGTTCGGCTTTCAACTTGTTTACTTCCTCAAGGAGCTGTAGGACAAGGACGTCCTGAGTGGAGTCATGTACCATTGGGATTTTCTTTTGTAAGTCTCCATCGCCTCTTGGAAGTAGGAAAGTTTGAGCAAAGGCATGTGATTTTTCCTTGGACTCACCGTACTGACTTCTAGGGCGAGTCTATCGAAATACCTTAGAGTCCCTTGTACCTTCATGTCCCTCTGGGACCTGTCGTTCCTTCCCTAGATTGGGAGATGGCCTAGGTCGTGGGAGGAGACCGAGTCTTTCAGAAACCCTTGGGTCATTGATCTTCGAGCATATGTGGAGGGGATTCTCTCGACGTTGCTTTAGGAAGTCTTGGCAGTCACGATAAACGACTTTCGATCCTTCCAACCCTTCTGCAAGGAGGTGTCTTCCTCCACTTCTCCTGCTTCAGATCGAATGAGCTGGGTTAAGAGATGTTTCATGTTGATCAATGTTTTAATGATTAACTCGCTCTTCATCAGGGATACCCATGTCGAAGGAAGGTAACCCTCCGTGTTGGAGGGCACCCAGATGATGGTTGATGTCCACAGGGGCAACGAGCTCGCGTGTTTGAGTATGGCTAGTTTCGTGGAGCGTCTCAAATAGCTTCTCATACTGCTCATGGAGGACCTCATTCTTCATTGCTATCTTGTTGTTCTGAGCTTCTAGCTCATCGACTTTAGCTTGAAGAGCAACCCTCTTTCCTTTCTTCTTTCGTTGCTTCACACTAGGTGCAAGATGGGTGTCATTCTGTGTGTTGTGGCTTCCTTCGCTCCCCATGTTGGAGAGGGATGCCTGGTCAAAAGAGAGTGTACGAATGGTGGAAACCAGCTTGACAAAGCTGAAGAGAGTAGGAATAAGTGTCATTCCCACAGACGGCGCCAAATGTTGATGCACAAAATTAGTGACGACTTTGGTACAACAGAAAGTGTTAAGTTTGTGACCTTCGCTAGATTGCTCCGGTCACTAGTGTGGATAAGTAGGTAAATGGATAGAGACAGGGAAGCAAACACAAGATGTACGTGGTTCACCTAGATTGGCTACGTCCATGGAGTAGAGGAGTTCTCATTAATTGTGAAGGGTTTACACAAGTACATAGGTTCAAGCTCTCCTTTAGTGAGTACAAGTGAATGATTTAGTACAAATGACATTAGGAAATATTGTGAGAGAATGATCTCTATTTATAGAAGAGAGTTTCTAGTTTCATTCTGACATTGACACGTGTCGTGTTGTGATTGGCTTATGATGTTGACACGTTTCGTGCTATGATTGGCTTCTGATGTCCACACGTGTGGCGCTGTGATTGGCCTCCTGGTTGTAGGGAAACTCTTTTGGGTCGTTGACGGTATAACGTTGACCGGTGCTCAGTAGTTTCAGGATTTGTCAAGTATGGTACAAACACTTCTGATTAAACTTCTTGATCATTTAATCAAATTATATTCTTATGGAATAAAAATTCGTAAAAATTGAAAAGTAAAAAAATGCACATAGTGTTTCAAACTTGGAACCTCCTCATTAATTTTAAACATCATAAACCACCACTTTTGGTTAAACTTTTTGACCATTTGAACAACAACAACAAAGCCTTTTCCCACTAAGTAGGGTCGGCTAAATAAATCATAAAAAGTCATTGCGCTAGGTTCAAGATTTGATTTATACTTTTATAGTTTTTTTTTTATATCTTCTAAATATTTGTACCTTTTCAAGATTTGATAAAGTGCATTGACTAATAAACACCTCAACATTTTATTTCAATTTAAATTGCATTGTCAGTGTGACATACCGTCCCAAATTTTACCTTTTTATAAATTTTAAAAGCGTGAATTGACCAAAATGCCCTAGAGGCAAGGACTTTGACTTCTGTTGACCCTCATTTAGAGAAACGTATTACCTATTCTTTTAGCATATTTAAGTAATACTCATCACTACGAATGCATAGGCGAAAGCTGTTTACGAGTCCGAATTATAACGGTATAGTTATAGACGTTCGAAATTGGTTAGTTGAAGTTTAGTTATAAATTAATTCAAACTCCCACCATGTGGGAGTGGTAACCAATCAGATTTAAGTAAGAAAATAAGGGACCAATCAGAAAAAGGAAGGGAGGACCAATAAAAATTTGAGGAGAGGAGAGAGATAAGCTCCCAGCTCCCCTAAAATAGCACCCACACCCATTGCGACCACCCATCTTCTAGGGTTGATTCCGGCTAACTCCGTTGGAGTTTTTCGATGCCACCACCGCCATCTTGAAGCTCTCATTCCCCTCTACAAAATCCACCCAAGAACCACCTTGATTAACCACGGTATGTGGCAGTTTGAGGCTACGAAAGTCAACAAAAAATCAACGGTGCTCTGGCTACTCTTTTCAATATTTCGGCGAATCATCAAAGCGATGGCCGATGCCACCACTTGGGCTTTGTAGCCCATCATCCAAGGAGAAAATCCCAACCAACCTTAACCCTGTTGGACCATAGTAGATGACGAATCGACACCGGGAAGCATTAGGCACCTGTCGGCTTTGTGGAAAAAATTGACCACCTTCCGTCCACTTTTGGACTTCGTTCCAGATATAAAAGTTGCTGTACTCATTGAGATTTTCATTTCTGTGAAGTTTGAGAATTTTTGGAAATAGTTGGATTTTCCGGTGAGTCGGAGTTGCCGACCACCACCCGCGGCGGTGCGTGACCCGGGGACCGTCAATGTTATTCTTAGGCTAAATTAGATGCCTTGAGTTTAGTTTTGGTAATTGTGTAAGGTAGGTTGATCGTTTGGACCTAAATTCATTAAGATATGTTACTTGGTAAAAACATGAATCGAAGATCCGACTGTTGGATTGTCACCAAACTTTAATATGTTATAATACGTAATATTTGAGGACCATAGGAACTTACAGATCGGGAATATGATATACGGATCTTCCCGAATTGGATTCGTAAGTTCATAAAATAAAAGGTTAACCGCCACTTGGTTTTGGCAATTGGCGGAAATTCGACCGTTGGATCGTAATGAGACATTAGGATGTTGCTCTAGAAGTATAATGTGAATCTTGGAAGCAACAGATCGGAAATCCGTGATGCAAATCTTCCGAATTGAATTACATAGAGATGCGTTTTATGTAAATTGTGTATTTTATCGGTATGAATTCTGAGATGTGATGAGATATGTGATGAGCTAGCATATGTGATGAGATATGTGATGAGCTAGCATATGTGATGAAATATGTTATGAGCTAGCATATGTGATAAAATATGTTATGGGCTAGCATATGTGATGAAATATGTTATGAGCTAGCATATGTGATGAGATATGTGATGAGCTAGCATATGTGATGAAATATGTGATGAGCTAGCATATGTGATGAAATATGTTATGAGCTAGCATATGTGATGAGATATGTGATGAGCTTGCATATGTAATGAAATATGTGATGAGCTAGCATATGTGATGAGATATGTGATGAGCTAGCATATGTGATGAGATATGTGATGAGCTATGGATAAGTCGTACAGGTCACTATAGGTGACTCCAACTTATATGCTAGCGTTGATTGACGAGATATGGATAAGTCGTACAGGTCACGTGCGGTGACTCTGGCTAGTATGATTGATGAGCTATTGATTCAGCCATACAGGTCACGTGAGGTGACTTCAGCTGGTATACCATTTCATATTGATTTATTTCACATGGATTACTTATTCTTGTTGAGATATTTGACATAACATAATTGTGAGACTGTTATTTTGGTTATGGTTTTGAGTTATAGTCACGCCTGTTATTTTCTGGGAAATTATATAGGTGTTACGGCGAGGGGCTATTGCCTTTGGTAATTGAAATTGGTTTGAAAAGTTTTGTTTCACTCACTCACATTTTCTATTTTTGCACCCCTCCAGGTTCTAGCAGCAGAGTTCTGTATCAATGAGGAT